CGATAACAATTCTTCAAGTAGCCTTTAATAATCGAAATTATGCAATTCACTTTATAAACTATTATATAATACAAACGAGAAGCACCTTGAATGTATGCTGTTGTTCAACTTAATTAGTTCCTTTTAACTGCTTCATAACAATATAAAAAAAGAACATGTTGATTTATAATAGCAAAAAACTTTAACGTACTAAACAATATCTAATTCTATTTAACTAAAAACATGATTAAATAATTTTATTCAATTTTCATACATGTCATACATATACCTACATAATAATACATATACCTGAAATAAAACATAAGTATAAAAATATTTACATTTAATTTTACAAATGGTGTCTGGCATATTATTTATTTAAGGAATTGACACCAATTCGTGTTCATCGTTTGATTAGGAATCAAATAGATTTAGCCGAGAATTGAGTAAATAGAAACGGAAAAATTGTATTTACTATTTTAGAATTGGTGTTTATTTAAAAGAAACTAAGTAGTCTCTTACATCATCTACTAGCACACAAACCTCTAGGCTATTTATAAAAAGAATTTAATTTCTAATAAAATTATTTAGTTTGATGTCATCTTTTAAAAAAATACTATAATACATCAATAGTCCGGTTTTGATCAATCCCGATTTACTATAGTCCGGTTTGAAAATTTGAATACTAAAGTAATTAGTGAACAAAATTTAGAATATTTATTTTTTGTATGTATTTTGTTCCTCGATTGAAACCGATTTGTCGGACTATGCTAGGTATTTACATTTATGTTGAATATATGATTTAGTTGAATAAAATTTGTTCTATTTATTGTCCATTAATAAATGTTTATGCATATTTCAATAAAACGCAGTCTGCCCTCAGGATGGACAGACTGCGTTTAATAGAGCGAATATTTGAAGTAATTTACATTATTTTACACCTGCATTTATTTAGAAAACATCTTAAAGCGTGATGTAATAATTTTAAATGCATCTTTATACAAGCATCAACGTCAATATTAACTTAAAGGTTATAGTCTCCTATTTGCAATATATTATGATTTTTAATAAGACTGCTTTTATTAATTATCTTTATATTTTACACTTAATACTTTTTTAAGTCTCATTGTTATGACCTAAGTTATTAATTTCTATTAAATTATAAATGTCTTATTTTATTGTTTCATAGTTAGCAAACAATGTAAAGATTTTGAATTATTTGTTATTTTTTTATCTATTTCAATAATGAAGAGTAATGAAGAGATTTATTTGCATTTGTACAAACAAATACTGATTCAATTTTAATAACATATTTGTGAGAATTCTAGTCATTTGTTTACAGAAAGCTAAAAATGGATGCGAATAATAAAATGTAAACAGATAATGTATATTCCGTGACGCTAATTATGTGTTTTTTAAAATTATTTTCTGCCGATGTAATAAAGAATTGTAATTAAATAAGCATTATAGTCGAAAGACCTATAGTCGATAGATCTTTGCAGCATTTAATTTTATATTTAATTTTTATTCTTGTATTTTTGCAATATTATTATTATTAAACAATTTAAATATTCAATGTGCCAGGAAAGCCATAACTAACTAATACAAAAATGACAAAAAATGTAGCAAGTAAATTTTTAATAAATTCAATACGTTAAAGATTTCTTTTGATAAAATATACCCATATAAAGCAGTGGTTTTCAACCTTTTTTATAATGTATCGACTCTTAAATTGAATATTATGGTTTTTATTAGAAAAGATTACAACTTTGTTTAACTTATAATATTATAATTATATAAAAAATATTTTAATGTAACAAAAACAATAATCACCTTTAATATAAATGCGATATTTGATGTTGGGTTTTTCTTTTTCGTACTAATAATTAGAATTAGGATAATCTAAAAATAAGACTTCGGGTATATTTGTTAATCTTTGACATATTTTTTTGCAATTCCACATATTTGAAAATTGATTTTTTTATTCAATATTCTATTTCAGTTCCATAAATTCAATATCGGCTGTCGGTTTCAAATGATTTTACAATCCAACACGGGACAATTGGCTAAATCTTTGTAACAAACATTGTTATCTTTTTTTAATTGTTTTAATTAATATATGTCGAGTTGAATCTATCCGCATTGAATTTAAAATTTCAAAATATCAAATATCATTTCGATTTCAAACAGACATAAACAAATCAATTTTAGAACAAAATGAAAATATTACTCATCGAACTTCAACTAGATTCAGTAGATTCTTAGTAATTTTGTTCGCATATTATTAAATACAGATAATATATTTATTCGTATTAGTATCAATGTTAATACTGAACATAATAATTGTTGCTGTCATTATATATATATTAAATTTAGTTTATTTCAATCTTATCTTAAATTGATATGGTTTATTTTTGATTGTAATATATTTATTAGTTATGTACATATTTATAAAAATGTTAATAATGTAACTCATGGAGCTAACTTTTATAAATAATAATGTTTATTGAAACATTAAAATTACAAAATTCAATACATTAATATAAATTTCATAAATCAAACTGCTTCAAAGGGCTATTGTCAATAATATTTGAACGGTTAATTATTTTTGTTAGGAATACATACTATGGACCACTGTTATGCCAAACCACCAATAGAAGGCGCTCCAAGAAATACGAGATGGAACCGTCAACAGAGGGCGCTCAAGGAAGCGGCACTGCCAACTGCAGAAATCACATCGTCGATTGAAAGACCGAAACTATTGAATAAGCTTAGAGCAGATCCAAGCGACAGATGCAGACAGATGTGGCTCGCTTAACACATCGATAGCGCGCTCTGCCGACTAAACTGCTTACTATTGAAGATAAATTAATACAAAGTTCCATACTTTTGTTGTTTGAATCGACATTCTGACCATATTTCTAATAATTTTACATTTGCATTACAAGTAAAATAGGCAACCATAATAGTTCGGCTGGTAAACGTTTTATATATAACATTAGTATAGACAGCAACTTATTTCTTTTATATATAAGTTATAACCATTGCCTCTGGATATCAACATTGCTTTTAGTATTATTAGGTTTTATTTATTATGAATTATATATTTAGGGTTATCTATAAGTTTATATTTTGGTTAGGAGGAATTTTAAATTTGTCCTTTCTCGATTGAACATAAATTTTATAATAACATTTTACTGTTTACTCAGTCCCAAATTATGATATACATTTCTAGAAAGAAAGAATTAATTTTTCTGATAAGTTTAAATTGTTATAAGTAAAAATAGTAATTCTGAAAATAATAATTTGTAAAGAGATAGTTGACATTTATTTATAAAGAATCAGCTAAATAGAGAAGTGAAAACGAACATTAAATCAAAAAATATTGAATCAATTACTATAAATGACAAATGAGCTGGTACATATACACATATTCACTAAAAATTGGGAAGATGTGCAAAGTTGCGAAGTATAGTAAGTGAAGACTACTTCTATGATACTTATTGTTCACCTCTGGGGTGAGCTATGGGATTGCGGTGTGGGGGAGTACCACTAAACGTAACAGGCCAGGTTTGTCCGTACATGTATAACATTGAAACGAAAATAAACACTCACACAAAGATAGTACATAAGATTTTCACTGATATTAAAAAAAAATACTGAAACGTTGAAAACACATAATAAAATGTCGAGCACTATTACTAAATGTCCCACTCGTATTGTAGGGTTTTAACAGTAATTCATTGCGTATTGTGCTATAATTGATACAAACAGGTTGTTGCAAGTCTAGCATAAACATTAAGTTAATAGACGAACGATTACAGAACTCCAGGTTGGAATGATAAAAAACTGAAGGAAAACAGAACGGGCGCATAATGATAGCATCCTGGTAAAGTGTATAAGAAAATACAACACATTATCTGATAATATAAGTATTACAAGACAGAACAATTAATAATATACAAAACTATAACAAGGCTCACTCGTAAGGGACTATGAAGGACTGCAGCAGAGGAATATTATTTATTGTAGAAATAAAATGTAAATATAACTTGAAACAAATAATAAAAAAAATATAATAGAAATAAGACAAACAATTGCTAGCTATTAGAAATAAATTTCAAATAGCAAAATATATATTTTTGTTCAGTAGAAGACGCAGTTGACATTTCACTACAAAATGTTACGGATATTTAATATTAATCACAAGTATCAATAAATACAAAAAAATACAATTTGGATTTGGAAATATGCCATTTGGCTAAAGCATATTGAAAAATATGCAGTTTTTTTTTGTAATTAATAGATATATATTATGAGTGTCATATCTGCAGTGTCATAGGGAAAAGAAATGATTACTTGGAAATTGAAAAAGTTCAGTAAATAAAAAGTATATATTATATTAAAAATATATTCACTTTATACATTTCTCTGGAAAAAATATATATTTACAAACAAAACCATGTATAAAAAGGGTCGCTAAGAGGTACACTGATTACAGTTTAGTAACAGAATTAGAATCGTTTCATTTTTGCATATAAATTGGATTGCATTTCATGTCCCCAATAGCCTCTCATCATTAAACAATACCTACGATAAAATCCGACTGCCAGGAGCTGAGCCCCAGCAGCCGGAGCACAGTCTTACAAAAAATCTTCCTCTGTGAACATTTTCCTCTTCACAATTCCAGAAAAAAAGTGGAAAGAAGAAAATGCGTCCAATTTATAACCAACGGTTGTGTAAAGAAAATAGTTAGTTTGTGAATCCATAAAATAAACAAATGGTGTATTGTTAATGCGATATATAAAAAAAAACAAATAGAATAACAGCCCCCTTTGTGCAATAAATAAACTGCAAAATAGTAACGCGTGTGTGTTTGTGTAGAAACTATATTAAAGCATTTTTACTAATTATATTAATTAAATCACTAATTAACTATGAGGTAATTTAATATTTTTTTTTCAGATTATATTTGATAAATAAATTAAACGAATAATAATTATTATTATATGATGAGCGCGATGATTTTAGGAATGAAAAATATATGATTATCCGGTGATTATAAATTGGTTCACTCTCTCGAACAACATTCTCAAATTCTTTAAAACGAACAAATCTTCAATTTAGGTGGTATTAATGAAACCTTTTGGTTTAATCATCATGCTGGCCTTCTTCAGTGTGTAATCCCATCCTCTCCAACGGAACCAAACGATACCTAAATTTCAATTATTTAGTCTGAGAATATTCACAATTTGTGTAATGTTTACCTTGTCTCGCTGTTAAGTCTTGCGGATCGTTCAAGTATAAACCATTCAATCCTCGTCCGCATGACTTCCACCACCATCCACCCTTCAGCATTGACGCACAATTTAAGCTTGATCGATCGTTATCTCTGAAATTATTAAAGTAAGATTAAGGATCAACATTATCTATTATTATTATAGCTGTACCTATTGTATGTGGAGAATGGACTATTGTTACTTCCATACCATGGATCGTTCAGAGAGTCTCCTGCATTTCCTTCGTATCCATCAATCTCCAATTTATAGTATTCAGCTTCTGAATAGATTTTGAAATGCGAGTATTGGGCATACCTATAAGCATTAAATAATTGATTTAAAAGAAAGACGATTGGAAAAGTTGCGATATATTAAATAAGTGTGCTTTGCGCAACGGTAATTTTTGCAACCCAGTTATTGATCAATTGCAGGTCGTGCTCGCATACATCTCTTCTCGAGCACTTAGATTGTGAAAGTGAAGATGCGCCAGTTCACCTTGGGCGATTTTATGTGTATATTATTTGTAAATCTTTTCCCGAACCTTTTGTTTCCTTCGAAGTCTTCCAGTTCTACCCTCAATATATATTCTTCGTTGTTCGTAAGCATGTAAATGTTCTCGTTTCCTAGCCAAAATTCCTTGGCTGGATCACCGAAACCATTTTTGTAATCATTCCAATCCCTGTTGAAGTTCTCGCGAGGATCTCCATAGTCATCTCTACGTTGAATTACCTAAAAACATGTTATTAATAGTGAAATGTTATATTGAAGCAGTTTAGCCTAAACTTACAGTCCAGCCGCCATCCGCTATTTCCTGTTCGCAGAATACTTTCAGGAACCAGTAGGTTGTTCCACGAATTTGAAGATAATATACGTTGGAATCACGCATTCCGGCATTTAATAAATCGACACATGAATATCCCTAAAAATAAACATGATTATAAATATTGTAACATTATCATTAATACATATGATTATACATCAACTAACAAAAAAATATAAGATATATTTTCTAGAAATATTATGTATATATTATTTAGTTTATTAAAATATTCATATAAATGCAGTAATTAGACTGAATATGGACGTATTCAAACTTTAACAAGGAGAAATTTAATAATATCGAAGTATTTTAATATATCGGAAATGTATTATAAGCCATAATAAAAATAAGAAGCAGTTACTATAATTGTCCGGAATTATTAGAATTATTAAAGAGACCTGATTTTGATTACGTTTATGGAATTGCGGAAATCTCTACACTCCTGGATCGTCAATTACGCAATCTTATTTTTTTTTTATAAAAGAGAAGTAATTACCTTAACGTCTTTTATGCTCGCAACAGCATCCGTAGTAAACGTGGTGTTTGCAGGTGAAGGTTTGTTTTTCACACTTGGGAAAATGACGCCGCCTTTCCTTTTCTCTGCTCTTTTCTCGGCGCTACTAGTTTGCTGCGTCGAGGAGGTTGAAGGGAATGTGGTACTTGTCATGTTTATGGTGCTCGAAACTTGAGTAGCTGTTGTTGGAGGCGGCAATGTTGTATAAGTAACTGGTATAGTAGTATCGGTGGCCGGTGGGAATTCATCTACGCTGTATCTGTTTGAATCATATTCTACTAATCTATCTATAGTTGGATCCAGGAGTAGTTCTGCTGGTACAGGTCTTTGGGCTAACGTTGCTACATCGTCCTCCTGTTTCTTTAATCGTTTTTCTACCATATCCAAATTGGCGATGATCTTATTTGCTTTAGACCTGAAATCGCTATGCATTTCGCCTATTGCCCTCTCTTGCCTCTGAGTTTGGGTTAGTAACTCATCGGATTTGGGAACCAAATCATCGACTGAACTTTTGGTTCCAACAACAACGTCCCAGACTTCATCCATTTTCTCGGAAACGTTGATGATTGGCTTCATCTGTCGTACCAATGTGTCGAGTTTACTCGATCTCAAGAAAGGTGGTTGAGTAGTGGTGGTTCTATTAGAATCACCTTGGTCAACAACGGCTTCATGGACATCAGAAACCATAGTGAGGACACGACCCAAGTTTTCACTGACCACGTTTACGTGGTACTGTAAGTTCCTGTCCAGATTTCCAGTAACTTCTTTCAGTTGATCTAGTTTCTTGGTAACATGGTTCAAGATTTCTGTGTTCAAAGCTTTAGTAATTTCAACAACGTTCATACTAATCGGTTTCTTTTCGCTAGCCTCCGCATTAATATCTTCATTAGCCAAATAATTACTATCCAGTTGGGTTTTCAGAACGCTAAGTTTGCTGTCGATGTCGCTAACCTTTTGATCAAGCGACACCAGCTGCATACCAAGATTGTTCTCAACAAAATCAGAATTTTCAGACTTGGGATCTGCTTTACCGGTGAAGAATGGCGATTGGAAAAGCTTCAAATCTAAATGTCGTAATTTAGAAATGACGGATTCGGTTTTGTCGATGTTATTGTTCACGCGCGAGTCCAAGTTCTCCACGCGTCTCATCAAATGTTCTACTGCCTTATCTAAGTTTTCGATCCGCTGTAGCTTTGAGTCCAGCGTCGATATTATCGCTTCGAACACATCGAAGAGGTACTGCTCTCTGGAATGGAAAGAACAAAACAGAAAATAAGTAAGCTGATTCTACTGAGATATGTTAATGTGGTAATTTCGATTTTTACGAGGTGTTGAAATATGAATCGATCAATGGGCAATTTCCGAGTCTTTCAAAGCCGAACAATTAACATCCTCGCACGTGTAAGTACACACCATATGCATATATGTTGTACTGAATGAGGACAAACGCTTTCATCCGTTTCGTGTGCAATTAGAGATGATGGATGCTATCTCCCGAAGCAAATGTACAGCATTAGGCAACCGTCCCATTGTTACTGTATGGTGCAATGCAAAAATTGCTCGAGAAACGATGCAACAACAAACAAGAAGTGGCAGGAGTATATCAATACTTTTGCCCTCAAATAGACATGTAACAAAAAACTAACAAAATAAAAATAGAAATAAAAATGAGATAGAACGGGGACATACGTATACATAAACGAAAATGTCATAGAAAGTTACGAAAATTGAGATTTGCACGCTTCTCGTACTCTTCTTTGCTTTATTACAATCATTTACATTAGATCACGAGACACACGATTTCAAATTTCACAATGAATTAGTTATTCTAAATTCTATACATTATAATAATTATTGTTTTAATTAGCGCTACCAAATGGGCAAACTAAGAATTTACCCAGGGTGGAAAATATTCATAAATCATTACGTAAGAGGCATGTATTTTCCATGTCCTCATTGTTATATTCTCCAATCATTTTATTAAATAAATAGCTTTTTATCAAATAAAAAATATCATTTAGTCTGCAAAATCTGTGTGTAATAGATCTTAGAAACTTTCAAACACTCTTACACGATTTCGTTCTCGTTATATATCTTCCTAGGTAATATTGCAAATTGGATGAAAATGGATGGACTCGATCATGATGCACGAACACATTTACAAAACAATCAATTGAATGGTTGACTTGATTTGTAGCCATAATGTTAATCTAATAGACATTTTTATAAAGTCTAAAATACACAAGTAAATGAATAGTTTATTACACTATTTCTGAATAAATTTAATAAATATATCTATGTAATAACGTCAGTCAATAATGTCAGTGCACTTATTTTTAAATTTTTAAATTACATATGGGTTGTCATTACTAAGATTGTTTGAAAAAAGCAAGTTTTTTTATTCAATAAAAAATTGATAACTAAAAATAATTTAAATATTTAACACGTACTTATATTTTTTTACGTAAAATTGGTATGTATGCATTTTGTAGTTAATGAAGTCGAATTTCTGGATCGCCTGCGTGCGTGTGGTCTGTTCTTGTAACCAAATGAACAAGTGTCGTTTCGATTTGTTCGCCTACACGAACAACAGTTCTTTCTTCATTTTATTTTTGACCGTTCGTAAAGTTGAACTCGGTGAGAGAGAACAATTTCAATGTACGCCCTCGTCGGTTCCTCGATTAACATGTTAACATCTGTGAAAGCTCGTGGGAATCGAAATTTCTTTTTCTTTACCTTAGACCTTCCCCGTTTTTTTCTTCTTCTTTTTTACCTCCTTCCTTTTTAATCTTCTGCATAATCTAACTGCGCCCGTTGATACAACAAAGTCTCCCATAAAAGGTCGCAAAAATCAATAATAGTCTTGCGCTCTCACACATTCTCGGGATGCACTTTCACGAAAAACCGCAGAGAAAGTGCATTGTCTGTTTATAATTGAAAACAAAAGGCACTACTTCAGTGTAGTGGTGCACCAAAATAATTGATAAAAAAAACGGAATAAAAATCGAAAACAAATTTCGATGAAAATGAAAGTATCACCGCAATATTTAATTTTGTTTGCACCAAGGAAATAAATATATTGGTTTTTTTGTTTATTGTTATCTACTGTACCGGAATTGAATGAATAAACTAGCAATAAATGATTTAAGAAAAATTATAAAAATAACTTTATGTTAGGTTTTTAGCAAATAAGAGTTAATGCACACGCATTGAGAAGTAGCGAATTAATATAAAGAATGCATGCAATTTCAAGTTTCAATCATTCCCCAAATACCAAATTTGATGAGTTCAACAGTCATCAAGTCCCGAGGTTCTACTGTATTGTATAAACAAGTAGAACGAACGAATTTGTCTTAGGAACGAGATAAATGGCAGAAAGTATCATTAATAATATATTGCATTCAGTTTTTTATATAATTTTAGAATATAAATAATGAAAATATCCTTTTATTTGTGTAGAAAGTATATTGCATTATTGGATATAAATTATAACAAAAACCTCTCATTGATAGTATTAATAGTAATAGTATTTATTAAAATACAGGAAAATTAATCAATAAAAATACAACATAATATCAATCTCATTCATCAGGACCTTTCAGTCCTTTTTTTAAATTTAAAAATATATAACATCTCACACTAATATTATGGAATAAAAAGGTTATAGACTTTTCCATCAATCAGCTGAAAAGATTCCCAGACCTTGACATTGTTGTTGAGAGATAGAGAGATGTCGCGTGCGTTTGCGGCGTAATGTCCGCCTTCACACCTACGCACTACTCACCCAGCACAGCTCGCTCGACCTGCTCTTTGAAACACACGTCTGTCACTCTTCGATCACCCAAATCTCTTCGACCTTGGAGCCCATCCCATCCCATTTTCTTTACAGAGGATTTAATGTGGAACACAAAATATAACCATATTAGTTTTTTTTCCATCTGCTGGTCATTTACAATGTACTTTACACGCCATCATTTCATTCTTATCAATACAAATTCAAATTGGATCTAATGGAGAGGCAATTTGAGCGATTTTATTTGGGGATTAACTGAATCTCATTAACTGCATAGCCATTTGCAGCCAACTGATACTAATCATAGAATCTTTTATAACTTAGAGGCAGCTTAATTTAAATAAAAACATGATTTATAGCTATATGATTTTTTTTTAAACATAATTTATATATTTTAATCGAAAAAGTTTTTTCGAAAAAAGTATTGTATAATATATATATATAAACTTTCAAGAAATATGTATATGTGATTTTTATAATGTATTTTTGTATGAATGTAGGAAATTATAAAAATTGTTATATAATTAACATATCTGGTTGATTACTGGATGATACCGTATTTGACTAAATCTTTCTAATCTAATAAATAATATATTTTTTAATCAGTTTCAAAGAAATCTAGAATTATGCAATAGAATGAGAATTGAATGAAATATCCTATTTCATTTTTTTAATTATTATTTTGCGGCCGTTCGAATATATAATTTATGACAATCGAACTAGTAAATGAATCGTAAATTTCTCTCTACGGTTCTGCTCATTCAGACTAATCCAATTAATAGAGGCCAGAATGAAATGGAATTTTGCATGTATATATCTTCTTTTTTTTTACTTTATGCTCTTCGCTCTTTTGAATTATATTTTCCACAGCGACTGCTAACTACGTTGGGGCGTTGCGCTCCAGTTGTTCCCGGAATTTGTAGCACGTAGACAAGAACGAGCGATAATCCCGCGTAGAAAGTAAATTCTAATCCGATTTGGATTAACTTTTATTATTATTTCGCTCAGAAAGAGATCGCAGTGTGCCGCGTAAATTTCTGTCGTATGTCGTCGTTTGACGAGTGAAATTTTTATCCGACTATAGAAAAGAATAAAAAAAAATGGTATAAAGGAAATTTTGTCCCATATGCTTTGAATTTAATTATGCAGGCATCTGTTAGATGTTATGCAATGAACCCGTAAATATAAAGATGTCAATCATGTTTCGTTGTTTTTATTTTGCATTAGGAAGCTTTCCATTTAAGTAAATATCATTGCTTCTATTAAATAATATTACAATATATTACATATATATGTGTTAGTTTAAGGTCTAAACGATACGTTGTAAATGATACTAATAGATTTTGCATAAATATCAGTTAAATAATGTCAGATATCAATATATAATAAATAATCCTGCGAAGTAAATTACTTATTAGTTAATGTATTTGTAAATATATTATAATTTAATGTATTTTTTTTTTGCAAATATACTATTACTATTATCATAATAGTTTATATTACTATTTATAGTATAAGGAATTGTATTGTTACAATAATATTAAATGTGTATTTCAAAAAAAAATATATAACAAATGATGATATTTAAATTAACAGGTGGATAATACTGAACATTTATATATAAAGTCTCTATGATTGTAGTCTCGGTAATTAAGGAAAAGTGTTGATTCATATTTCCACTAGCTTTTGTACGTTCAATCTACGATATTACCCTTTGAACGTTATGTCTTTCAATTGTCATTAGTTGTGCAATGGTCGGCAATCTGGACTCACATTACTCATGTCTACGCTGATTGAGTATAAGAGGATTGTGAAATGAGTTTAGCGAGGTCTAGAATGTTTGATTTATAATTATTAGAAATTGAAACTGAAAATCCGTCAGTCATTATATTAAGTGCGCTCCAGGGGATCCTTATTTTTAGTAAGCACCATAGTATCTATAGGCACGCGTATAAATTGCGTTCGAACGACGCGAAATGGATAGGAAAGAAAAAAAGGCACGGAGGAAAGAAAAACGCGTGAGACCATATTTAATGCGCGTTCCATATTTAATAGATCTATTAGATCTAGAAAGTTTAACTACTTGCAGCAAATACGTCCGATCCTAACCTAACTAAAACGCACTCCACGTTAAACAGATAGTACCGATTTTAATCCATTATTTATAAATTCATTTATTTATTTATAAAATACGAGAAGAGATATAATTTGCGACGATAAATTACATTACATGATATCCAGGCTTTTATTATTAAAACAAATTTCCTTTTACTATTTTATTACATGTTGACTAGTTTAAATGCAAAGTAGGAAATGTTTTTGCTTAGATATTTTCATGTAATTGGGATATATTCATAATATATATATGTATTTTTAGTGGGGCTTGTCTGCAACAAATTTA